TTGCTGGTTGCCCATGCATATTTCCAAAATGATGCTCTCCGTGAGGCAAAGAATACTTTGGCAGTGGAGGCTTCAGGTTTTGGTTTTTAGTTTCTGTTTCTCATACATACTGAAATTTCCCTTCCAAGTTCAAAAAGTTTTACCTTAAGGACCTGTGTTGGAGTTTCAAGTTGCTTACACTTCAGTCATTACAGAGTTAAATGTTGTTTGTTAGGAAACAGGATGTTACGTTACATAATGTATTCCACGGCGGGAAAGTTTGTGGGAGTTGCTTATCCTAATGAAGTGAACTGTAACCTTTGTATTGGTCAACTAACAACTTGTTTGAGGAAATGCTTTGATCTAGCATTCATGTATTCACAACGTTTATGGCCCTTTGTGTGAAGCAAACAGGAAGCTCCCCTCTAGAAGCCAAGACAGTTAGAAAGATGTAGCTGTTAGCATTTAGTACTGAAAGTAACTAAGCATGTAACCTTTTTATTTTATTTCTTTTATCCATTTTATTTATAGATAGGGGCTCTGGGGCAAGTGATGCTCTGTCATCTTGGTGCTTGGGGGGGGGGCTAACAGTGGGAGGGCTTCTAATGTCCTGGCCCCACTAGTGGACCTCCTGATGGCACCTGGTATTTCTGGCCACTGTGTGATACAGAGTGTTGGACTGGATGGGCCTTTGGCCTGATCCAACATTGGCGTCTCTTATGTTCTTATGTTCAAAGTACCATACCCATGTTTTATTTTGTTTTGTAGTAAAGATATTTTTCTTTTACTAATGTGGCTCTTGTGTTTGCAATACGACCATCGATCTTGAATCTCAGAATCCCAACAGCCTGCCTTGTAGAGAGTCCAATCACTGGGTCCCTTGAGCCCAGCATTGTCTCCTCTGCAGTTCTCCAAGGCCACAGCGAGTGTGAAGGGCTCAGGTGCAGGAGATGCAGGGAGTTCTCTGAAAAGAACTCCCTGAGTGTCTCTTTAAACATCACATGTGCAGTTGCCTGATTCTGATTAAAACCGTGGAAGGTTGACACTTTCCCCTGAGCACCACTTTTTCCAAATTGAAAATGATTCCAGGGAACCACTGTGTACCCTCATTTAGGACAAGTATTGGATCTCCAGGGCTGTTTCAGATTGGAATAATGGCACTCAGTCTCCCATCACCCACATCCCAGTCCATCTTAATGGGCCCCCCAGCCTAATTCCTCCAGTTTAAGGTAGGATGCCACCCGTTGTCTTTCTTTTAGTGGAGGTGCCAGGGATTACCTCCGCCACAAGAGATATGTACATAACTTCTGTGTAGCTTCTCGCTTCTGATTCATCTCTCCCCCCCTCCTTCCTTTCAGGTGCCAGTAGTGGTTTTGGGGAACAAAACTGACCTTGCGGAGCAGAGACAAGTCACGACTGAAGTAGCACAGCAGTGGGCCAAGCTTGAGAAAGTGAAACTCTGGGAAGTGATGGTGACAGACAGAAGGACGCTGATGGAGCCTTTCACCATGCTGGCGAGTAAACTCTCTCAGTCCCAGAATAAATCAGCGTTTCCTTTGCCCGGCAGGAAGAGCAAAGGCAATAACGGAGACAGCTAAAATAATCCTCCAGGGATGAACTTGGTGAGTTTCTGCCTCCTGCTGGGGCATATGTTCAGCACTCCCCTTTGCGCCTCATGAAGCATAGCAGGATATTCGACAATGAAACTGGTAAATGGCAGGCAGCATTCTTTGTTTCTTCTAAAGCTGTAGAGCAGCTTTGGACATCCGTAGCAAGATGGCCTCCAAAGCCACTACATAAAAACAATGATACAATTGTGGGGGTGTTTTGTCTTTAATGAGATGCTAGTTCTCTGGGTGCAAGGTTACAGGCAGCATGCAGAAAACGCAAAGGGAAGGGAGAGCGTTCTCACAAATAGCAGGTGAGATTCAGGTGGTAGATTGATGTTCAGATTTGCTTCATGGTTTATAGAGTGCTGAAGTGAGTGCCATCACAACCAAGGTCAGACGGAGGTTCAGAAAAGCATATATTTGGAAAACTTTGCACTCCTGCAGTAAAGTCCTATGCAGTTGCCCCTGTCTAAGTCTATTGATTTCAGCAGGCTTCAGACTGGAGTTAACTCTGCATAGGACTGTGCTGGAGACAGTCTCCTGGTTTCCCCTATGTAGCCACTCCCTGGAGCCAGCTCAAAGTGACTTTGGCCTGTTATGCCAAAGGGTGTTTTCCCTTGCTTTCCCCATGCATGTCCATTGGATTTTCTTTGTCATTCTGCATTGATTTTCCTCCCTTCAGCACTCAGTTCGCTTTCTGGTCGCTGTTTTCCTGGGTTTTCTGAGAGTGCTTTGGTGCCGATTTCCCCCTTGTTTCACTTCCAAGCTGAAGGTAATTCAAAAGCGTGATTCCCTTGGATCCCCCACCCAGCCTTTTGTCGCCTCTCAATGGAAGGGGGATTAGAGAGGAGGCAAACGGCAGCATCCCCAGTGCAACCCCCCCCCACAACATTTCAGTGCTGCATGCAAACAAAATAAAGGGGGGGGGATCGTCAGCGTGGAATGAAATTGACATGAGATGTAAAGAGAGACAGAAGGGAAGGGAGCCTAGTGCTTTGAAAACATTTCCCCCTTTCATGCTTTAGTGAACAAGGTTTTGGGGGATCCATTTTGGCAGTCTCCGGAAGCCTAACATTAAAATGGAAGCTGAGCCACATGGACCTTCTGCAAACTGCTGAACTTAAGATCGGTCCATTTGGAGGACAGAGTGCAATCTGCACAGGAGACGTTCTAAAAAACTGGCAAGTGTGCAGGATAAAATTACAGAATAACAAAGAGAAATCCATGCAAATTTGCAAAGGGCAGGAAATTAACATTACTGTGCAGCTGCACTAGGACATTGGTGAAAATAAAGTAAAGGTAAAGGTTTTCCTTGCTCGAAAGCCGGTCGAATCTGACTCTAGGGGGCGGTGCTCATCTCTGTTTCCAAGCCGAAGAGCCAGCGCTGTCCAAAGACTTCTCTGTGGTCATGTGGCCGGAATGACTAAACGCCGAGGTGCATGGAATGTTTTTACCTTCCCACCGAAGTGGTACGTATTTATCTGTTTGCAATTTCTTGTTTTTTGAACTGCTAGGTTGGCAGGAGCTGGGGCCAGAGATGGGAACTCACTCCATCAGGCCCCCCATTTTTTTTCAGTTTAGTGGGACAAGACTAAAAAAGCTCTCCAGAACTTCTGCCAGAGGTCTCCTCCCCCATATAAATTGCAGCCCTGTGCAAAGTATGGTGGAGTTGCAGCTGACTTTGCACAGGCATGTGTGTGTGCACACATACACACGTTGCCAATGATCACAGCTTGTAGTGCCAGTGCTAGTGGGTTCTACCACGTGTTCTATACACTCAACATGTTACCCTGTATTATGAGCTCATGTGACTCCCATTTTTCACAGTGGCCAATAACATAGCAGAGAATCCCCAATGTTTGGCAATATGGAAAAGGGCAGCTGTTTGTCAGTTTCAAAAAAAGTCTTGTCACTTTCAATATACAGTTTCCCCCTTTGTCTGCATTCCTTTCTGTTGCCTTTCATTCAATGAACTAATGCTAAAATGCATGTGTGAAACCTGAACTACGAGGATTTAAATGGGAGGCACTTGCTGGACGCTACTGCAAAGCTGCAATAGGACAATTGTGTAAATTTCTTAAAAACCTTTGGATGCCATCAACAACACATCACAAGAGATGTTCCATCCCAGTTTTAAAAAGAGCTTTTTAAAGGTGCTTAAGGCAGGCATTGAATCCGAAGTCAAGATTAAAGGCTTACTGATCTGAAAATCTGCAGTAAGATGTGCATGCATAATGGGCCTTTGTTCCATTGTCTCCAGCTATGTGACCCTAGTGAATTTTCCAACCTCCTGAGCCCCAAGAAAAGGAAATGGAAGCACCAAACAACAATGCAGTAAGCCTGCCAATGCACATCTAAACAACAGAGGCTACTTCTGTTTTATTTTTCCTAGCCAATGCTGTTGATTCACTTATTTGCACTGGCTGTTACTACTAATAATGCAGTTCCAGAGCTATTGCTGTGGCTGGTTTCTGTGATCATGCTGTACTAAGAGTCCTCCCTCTGTATTTTTGCTATTCTTGCCTAATCTGGCATGATGTAGAGAATTCAGCAGCTTTCTTTTTCAAAGGAAGCTGTTATGCATGAAAAGATGGGTTGGAAATCATGCAGAAATGCCCTGGGGGAATCTGAGAAGCCCAACTGTGATGGGTCTGAACAGGATTTCCATCTTCTGGCTTGCATTTTAAATGTGCTGCATTTTAAATGTGTAACCATCTCCTTTCAGACAAGTAACAGCTCCTCAAAATGTTTTGGTCTGGCTTCATACTACAGTCCATGGGCAGAACACGACTTTCTCGAGCAGTCATACTGGGCTCTTTTTTGGTCTTTGCTTCCCAGCACAGCTGCATTTTATTCTATAGTGTATATCCTAGGACAGAATGAACAAGTATTTGTAAATAGATTCGGGTGGGTAGCCGTATTGGTCTGAAGCAGCAGAACAAAGTTTGAATCCAATGGCACCTTTAAGACCAACAAAGTTTTATTGAAGGTGCAAGCTTTCGTGCGCATGCACACTTCCTCAGACAAATGGAAACCAAATTTCTTCAAACCTTGCATACAGGAAGGGGTGGTGGTGTCAAGAAGGACCAGTCAGGGTTAAGATGCATAAGTGAAACTGAGATTGGATCAAGGTGGCAAGAGCAATGAATGGCAGCAATTTTTTTGTGAAGTTATAAAACATTGACAACAGATATCTGGTCCCCACCGGGGCTTGCATTATTTGTGTTAAGTTGATTCTCTCTTTCTAGGGAGCACAGGAGAAAAAGAAAGCACCCAACAGCTTGCTTTATATATTGGACAGTTTAGAAAACCTCACTTGTGAATACACCAGGATTGCAGATTGGTGCATGCTTTTCTGATGTCTCCCTTTCAGAGGCTACATTCAATGCTTAAGAATCTTGCTCTCATTCCTGTGAAGCAGCTGTAATAACCCAAGATGACAGTGAGTCAGTAATCATGAGCCATACATGCTGATTGCAGTTAGGAAACTTTTTAATAGTGGAGGAACAATTTGATTCAAAGACATGCGATTCAAAAGTCTTTCCTTGCTCAAGAGGTCATTGAGAATATGGTTTACTGTGTGTCCGGTGGTGAGCACCAATCCTAGATTGAATCACAGGCAATTTCAGGGCTTGATCAAATTCTTGATACCCTGTGCTAGAAGTTTGCAGTTGCTGACAGCTGTTCCTCTTCCAGGTCACATGAAGCTGGCTTATACTGAATCAGACCATCAGTTAATTGTCTATTCAGACTGGCCGTGGCTCTCCAGGTTCTCAGGCAGAGGTTTTTCACATCACCTACTGCCTGATCCTTTTAACTGGAGATGCCAGGGATTGAACCTGGAAACGTCTGCACGCCTGGCAGAGGCTTGTCCACTGAGTCATAGACCCTCACCTACCAGGTCCTGTTGGCAGCTTAAGGTGTTCTGTTAAAGTAAGTTGGAAGGACTTCTTTTTTTAAAGGCAAGGGCATGCATTATTTACATTTTGGCTGCCAGGTGATCCTTAGCAAATTCATTCAAACTGTTGTATAAAATTTCCCCCAATCCATTTGTCACATGTTCTCAATGAAGGACGTATGAACTGGCCTGGAAGTGTCAGATTCCAGACAACCACCTTGTGAGTCAGCACGTATGTGTAGAGTGACCATATTATTTGTGTGGTGATGCTCCTTGTGTCGACTGATGGTAATGGGAGCCAGTGGGGGACTCTCACCCCGTCTTTTGTTTTTTGCAGAATTCTTGTGTTACTCCAAGAGATTGAACACGAAGTAAATTCAGTATTATCCAAAACAGCAATGGTGGTTTCTTATGTATGGACTACCAATCAACTTATACTCAGAGCTGATTCATTAAAAAAAGACTTGAGTGTATGAATCACTCATTAGTCAGATTAGCTGCTCACCAGTTTGTACATTATACCAGAATAAGTGATGCAAAAACACAGGGGACGTACTGTTAAGGAATGCGTGGGTTATGAAATGGCTCTTGTGTGCAAACATGGTTTGGGTATGGTCCCACCCTTTTCTCTGTTGCTCATTACAACTCTGATACTTGATGGAAGGATGTTTTCCTACTTGTCTGAGATGGGACGGAGACATGACAGTTGCAGAGAAGATGTAGGCGAGCCCTTTTAGTTACTGACATTGCCTGCTTTCTCACAATGTGGAGAAAATGTGCTTTCTACAGAGCATCTTCCTCCATTTGCTCTGTGCCTTTTCACTCTGCTCCCCTTTCCTTGGGCTGAGACAAATGTTCCTTTGGGAACCTCTGACTTGGTCAATGGCATGCCTGTTCTCAGAATTTAGCCTCTTGTATCAGGGTTGTTGTAGGGCAGGTTAACAGCAGCACTTTTGAAAAGGAATCAGAGGTTCTACTGAAAACCAAAGGATACAAATCAGTAGATGTTGATCAATAGCAACCAGTCCGTTTGTGTTTCCATTTGAGAGAAAGGCAGGGTATAAGTGAAGTACATACATACAGGGCCAAGGCTCTTTATAATCACAGCATTATCCTTCCCAAGTCACAAGAAGTAACTTACAGATCTGTTCCTCCTTAGGTGAGTGCTACACTCATTTGGTGTACCAAGTTCAGGTGTAAAGACCACAGC